ATCCAGAGAGCACTATTTTGTGTTTTTATATATCACCAATTATTCGAATACCGGCCTACTGCCATTGGAAAGGAGATATACCGTACCACCACTGGAGACCCCCTTTTTGAGGACATCCAAGGACCCTCTACATATCCATAGGCGGGGATTGTACCGTCCAGGCGCACATATCTGGAGCTGAGTATTGGCTCCAGAAAATTGTAAGTGCAATTCCTTTCCCTTCATTTACCATCACTTAAGATCTCAATATACTACACTATATCCGTGTCTTTTTCCTTCCCTCCTCCATATCGTCCTTCACTGCTCCATGATCCTACTAACAATATATGGCATTGTAGGTAGTGGAATGGAATAACAAACACTAACGTCTAGTTTTAAAAATTCAACCAGAGCATTTTTTAATTACAGTGACCCACTGGGAAGTAGTAGCGCTAGAGATGAGGATTGTTTCATCACCAATGACAAATTGCGACAAGCTTACCACTACATTACAGTACCCCAATATTGGGGTATTTTGGTGTATTGGTGGACTTATCACAATAAGACCATATGGTGTAACTGAATCCTCATATTTGTTTGCTAAGATAGGTGATTTTAAGTTGCCTTGTAAAGTTTAAACTCATTTTTTCTATGTGTTCCTTTAACTGTATTTTGTATAGATTTTGGTCTTTACGGAAAAACCACTACTTAGAAATGCATGTTCTGCGTATGCACTCAATCCCCATTTCTTTTATGAATGGTTTGACCCATACCTAACCATATCAAATGCACATGGTTCTTCCACATCAGCACTAAGTTGGGCAGGTCAGAAGGTTTCTGACAGTCAGGTAAATTTTAAACTATGCATAAACCATTAGACAGGCAACACTAGGTGATTCCTGACAATATAATCACTTCAACACACTGTAGTGTTTACGGTGTTTTTAAGTGCTAATATAATCTACTAATGCATTTATTTACATTTGAACATTGTAAAAACAAACTATATTAAACTTCATCATTGTATTTCCTACCTTATAACACTGGATGGAGCTGATGCTCCACTCCTTTTTCAAGCTGCGACTGGTTGTTACAAAATCTTCTATGCTATATTTTATGATAAGTCCACTTTTTGAGGGGTATACATAAGCCGGCAATTTTATTCTCACAATTTTATCCTTTTACCAAAAATAAATATCTCACTGATAAGTAGCTAAGATAAATGACATTATGTTGTTTATGTTAGGGGTGTTGCTAGGGGAAACTGACCATATTTCACTGTTAGCTCCAAGTCTCCTGAGAATCTGTAATGTTAAATATTTTAATATTTAGAGAAAAAAAACATCTCCAATAAGCTCTTCTACTGATCTTAGAGTTATCTAAATAAAACTGTGCATTTCTGTAACGATTTAAAATTACACGAAGCAGAGTTTTGAACGGCAAACAAAATAGAAGAACTTCCTCTATGTTTATTTGCTATTTAAGTCTTTGCCTCTTGTATGTTGGTGACATAATTACAAAATGTGTGGCAGTATCACCTTAATGCACCAAATCTTAAAGGACCACTATAGGCACCCAAACCACTTCAGCTTAATGAAGTGGTCTGGGTGCCTGGCCCAGCTAGGGTTAACCCTTTTTTAAATAAGCATAGCAGATTCAGAGAAACTGCTATGTTTACACTGAGGGTTAATCCAGCCTCTAGAGCCTCTAGTGGCTGTCTCATTGACAGCCGCTAGAGGCGCTTGCGTGCTTCTCACTGTGAAAATCACAGTGAGAAGACGCCAGCGTCCATAGGAAAGCATTGTAAATGCTTTCCTATGAACTGGCTGAATGCGCGCGGCTCCTGCCGCGCATGCGCATTCAGCCGATAACGTCGCTAGGAAGGAGGAGAGGAGGAGGAAAGATCCCTGCCCGGCGCTGGAGAAAGGTAAGATTTTAACCCCTTCCTCTCCCCAGAGCCTGGCGGGAGGGGGACCCTGAGGCACTAGAGTGCCAGGAAAACGAGTATGTTTTCCTGGCACTATAATGGTTGTTTAAGTTAGCTGAACACTCCAGACTACCCCTCCCCCCCTCCCCAAAGCACTTTAGTTTGTTGATATGCTTGATGTATGAAGGGTGTGTCCTCTCGTTTTGTTTTACCTGAGATGCATATTTCAATAGAAATTGGAATTTTTACAAATCTACCTTGTTACACCCCCTGGTTGCTTTGCAAATACTTTCCCTTGAGTTGCTTTGGAAAGTCTGTGATTGGACAGCCACAGAAAGTCTGGGCTAGGTTAGAAAGGGGGAAGTGGGGGGTGTAGGGTTAATATAGCAATACTGCATTATTACAGCATGTTCAGAGTAAGTGTGTGTGTGTATGTGTGTTGGTAGTACAGTCTCATATAGGGCATTTATGGTGGGGTTTTAGGAGAGGCTTAAGTCAATATATTTTTTGCAGAAAAAAAAAAGAAAATTTACCTTTGGGCTTAAGCCCTTGGCTTTTTTTGCCATCTCTCAACACCTTTAGTTTAGGGGAAAATAACTATACTGCTTCTCAGGAATGCCCACCTTCTTTTTAGAAGATGGCTCTTGGGAATGATGGCTTATGATTGATCTTGCACATATTGATCTTGCAATACATTACAAATAAACACAATAAATTGTAACTGAGTCTTTGGAAAAATATCTATCAAATTACACTGCTATACGAAATCATTCTAATTCTTCTTGATTCTGTAAAATTAGTTCCCACGTTATTTTATAAATATCTAATTTGTGAATAAAATTCTTATTGATATTTGTTACAATGAGATGTACCTATTCATATAAACCATAAGCAGAAATCAAATAATCTTTATTTTAGTTTAAAAAGCATACTTACACTCCACATCTTTTGTATGATTATATGTTGCATTTCTGAGAGTATTAAGGGCCACAAGGTGTATAATTCTATTTTCTCATATAATTTATGTGTTGAAAAATCCATTATATTATTTAATGAAAAGTATATTTTATATATTGAAAAGGATATATTTTTTTTTTGTCAATCACGTTTTTATTGGTATTTTAAGTAGTTTTTACATAACACAGAAAATATACGGTGTACAATAAGTAATAGGCAAGTTATGTGTCGCATTTACCCTTTCATCAGTTTTGTAGCCATCCCTCTATCCTCCTCCCTCCCCCTGCGGTGGTCTCTCAGCCCAACCTCCATCCTGTCCTGTTAGTATATATTTTAACATAAAAAAAGAGCATCAGATGGAAACATGTTATAGGATATTTTCAATGTCTCCACTTTAGGTTTTACTAAAAATGTTTACCTATCTAAAATATTTTAGGAAAAAGCTGGCAGAGGAGAAGGAAAGTAAAAAAAATAAATAAAAATGCACCATCCAATACAAAAGTAAAATGAAACTATCATACAGTAACAACTAGTAATGGGTGTTGATGCAAGTATGAAGGGCCACAGCTCCTTCCGGTGGCATTTTATAGGTAATGCTGGTGATAAAAATAAATATAGTCTTAGTTTGTGTGTATAGTCAATCAATGGTCAAGTGTGATGTAGAATGTATTATTTTAGCATTTAAAGTTTCAGTACAACTAACAGTGAATTAAACTGTATAATTTGTGACTTGAATATGAAATTATGACAGAAATGTTAATGATATTTTTGAAAATTAATTTTAAGGGTGATTACAGCAAAAGAAAAATCTAGCACATCACATTTAGTTTATTTAGTAGATCTTTTATCCCTGAAGGATATCCTGATTTCAGTTTGGATTAAGTTATGCCCCCAGTATTTGAGGAAATTGATTTTTCTTTTTTATCTGACTTCATTTATTTTTATCTGACTTCATAGACAATAGAATGATTGAAGCTTTAATCAAGGTGGTTCTTGATACCTTGGATCTTAGTGAAAAGAGAGAGGAAGAACCGGCTTCTAGTAAGCACTTTGCAGATGTAAGAAAGGGCAGTCCTTCTTTGCCGTTGCATAAAGCTATTGAGGACCTGATTAGACAGTAATGGAAAAAAATCTGAGAAAAGGGTTTCTATTTAGGATCCTTTTTCTAAACTTTACCCTTTTATATCGAATGACAGTGTTTCTTGGGATCTTGCCCCCAAAGTGGATGCAACAATTGTCCATTTAGCCAAAAAGACCACCCTTTCAGTGGATAAGGCTGGATCATTACGTGATCTTATGGACAAGCGTATGGATTCTAATTTATCTAAAGCCTATATTGCCTCTGGCTCTGGGCTTAGTCCAGCCGTGGCCATGACATCAGTTTCCAGTGCCTTAAAAAAAATGGCTGAATGATCTCGAAGAGGACATTTCGAGTGGAGTCAGTAGATCCGGACTGTTGGAATCCTTAAATAAAGTTAAATTGGCTATTGATATATATTTTTTTTTCAACAGAGGCTTCTATAGATTTTGGTAAGATCCATCTCCAGAAGCATGGCCCTGTCGGTAGCATCGAGGCGAGCAGTTTGGCTATGTAATTGGGTGGCAGACACATCTTCAAAAAATAGCCTATGTGGGGGGCGTGGCTGACCGCCGAGCAAGATGACCGCGTAAGAATTTGCTCCGGCATATGGGCTCCACATTTACTTCTATTTTCCAGCAGAAACTATAACAAAGAACACCAAACGCCATGGCACAAACCAAAACAAAGAAATCCACCACGAAGGTGGACAAAATTACCTTTTTCGGCCATAAATCTGCGCCGGCGGAGGCCGCGCGGTCCGTGCTCCAAGATGGCGCCGAAGAACAAGACCCCGACCTCACCTGTATAAACATGGACGGAGCTCACACACAAGAATGCCTCACGAGGAGTCACTTTGAGAAGGCCATGGAAAGAATGTCAGCAATCCTGATCAATAACTAGAAGGCAACGGCGGATCAAATCCGACAGGAGGTGAGGGACCTCTCCAATAGAACCTCCCAAGTGGAACAACACTGCCATGACTTAGCCTCCACGCAGGCCGACTCAATAGGCCGCATTCAAACCCTACAACAACAAATGGAGAGCATGGAAGCCCGAATGGCGGACTACAAGGATAGTGCACGCCGGAATAATCTGAGGCTGCGGGGGGTTGCGGAATCTGTCCTCCAAGATGACCTACCGCTTTTCGTGAAGGGCCTTCTCCATGCTTACGGGCCAGATATCCCGACAGACATGCTCCTGGTAGACAGAGCACACAGGGTACCGAAACCCAAGTACTTACCTGACTCCACAGCCCGCGATGTCCTCATCAGGGTACACTTTTACCACATTAAAGAAATAATTCTCAAAGCATACCGCAGCAAACCACAGCCACATGAAGAATACCCCATGGTGCACATTATGGCGGACCTTTCCGCGGCAACCCTCAGAAAAAAGGAGAGAATTTTAACAAATCACAGCGGAATTAAGAAACCGAGGGCTCAGATACAGATGGGGATTTCCCACCAAGAATGGAGATACAAGAATCATATCCAACCCAGAGGAGGGAGTGAAGACACTAACGGAATGGGGCCCCCTCAATTCCCACCTAAGGACACTCACTGCTCACCCAAACAAAGCCGCAGACCACAGGCAGACTAACCAACAAACACCAAGAACTGCTAACCATGAGACATCGCAAGTATACTAAATTTAGCTCATGACATGTAGCTACTATTTTGCACAGAATATCTCATGTTTGTTATTATTTTGTTATTTGTTATTATGATTGCTTAACCCCTTAAGGACACACGACATGTGTGACATGTCATGATTCCCTTTTATTCCAGAAGTTTGGTCCTTAAGGGGTTAAATCTCATGCTAGCAAATTTGCACCAATCTTGAGCCCATATCTACAAAAACTATTCACCCACACCATTAACACCGGCACCATGCCACAAGAAATGCTCATGGCACACGTCGCCACACTCCCCAAACCAGGGAAACCCCCAGACAGAAGCCAAAACCTACGCCCAATATCCCTACTAAATACAGATGTAAAACTCATAGCTAAAATCCTCTCAAACAGACTAGCGCCTGTTATCCCGACACTAATTAAGGAGGACCAAGTGGGATTCATGGGAGGCAGACAGGGGGCCGACCGTACACGCAAAATCCTTAACATCATATATGGACTACAGAGGGGGAAGGTCCATAGCGTATTACTCTCCCTGGATGTGGAGAAGGCATTTGATAGGCTTCACTGGCCTTTCCTCCTTGCGGTCCTCCGAAAATTCAATTTCCCACCCCAATTCATATCACTCGTCACGGCACTATACTCGGCCCCGACAGCCCGAGTGGTTAACGGGGGATTCATTTCTAAACCATTCTCCATTTACAATGGCTCCTAAACATAGTGGAGACCCTTGCCGTGGGAATAAATGTCCCCACACAAGAGATGGACCAGCTCAAAACCAACTTTACATACGATTGGAGACAAGACCATATCAAATTTTTGGGGGTCAATTTCACACCCACGCCCAATACGCTGTTCAAATCAAATTACTCAGTGAAATCCGAACACTCATACAAGGGTGGACGGAGAAATATATTTTGTGGCAGGCTGCATAGCCTCAGTGAAAATGATAGCCCTACCGAAAATCCAATACCTTCTCCGCACGCTCCCGATTCGACTCCCGAATAACTACATAAACGACCTGCAGAACCTTTTAAACAACTACGTGTGGGAGGACAAAAAAAACCACGTGTAGCGAAGGCCACTATGCACAGAGCACTCA